TTTAAATGTTCTCTAATAGTTATGAGTAAATAGCAATTAAACTGTTGAAAATAAATAAATAAAATGTCATGCTCAGTTTAGTAGCAATTTTTAGGGGAGAAACATTGATTTCAGTTTGAGAGGGAAAAGTTATGACATTTCAAATTTCACTGAAAATTTAATAGAAATCAACACTTTTTAATAGCATGAAGATAAAAACTCTCAAGTTACATGAATTTTCAACCGCACAATATTTACATTAAAAAGTTGTATTAAGAATAAAAGGCTGTAACTTAACATTCCATGACAGCAAAGAACAAGAATTAGAATNAAGTTGTATTAAGAATAAAAGGCTGTAACTTAACATTTCATGACAGCAAAGAACAAGAATTAGAATGTTTATATAATTATTTATATGAATTTTCAATTCATAAAAAATGAAGGAGCAGAAGTCAAATTGTAATTTTAAGTTCGAATTTTGAATTTGAAAAATATTTTAAGAAATTCCAAGTACGGAACGATGATATGAACAACAGATTAATTGAATTGCTGAACGAACGGATTAAAAAATTTCATAGCAATGTTGGAGTGCGCTTTAACCAAAGTTTCACCAAACATTGACTTCAAACAATTTACTCTCTGAATTATGTTTAGGAGAAAGTTGAGAAATGAGTCACAATAAGAAAAAAAATTAATTGCTAATAAGTTGGGATATATTTTCTTTAGTAGTATTGCTTTTTGCAATGAGAATGTTTATGAACAATGAACATCATTGCCACAATTGCGTGATGAAAATGAAAAGACAACTTTTCAGTTTGCCTGAGGTAATAATGCAAAGTCTAAATTATTGAAGCTAGAAATATGAAAATTTTAGGGCAGGTTCTATTCCTGATGTGAGCATTCATTGAGAGAATATTTTGAAAAATGAAGGGATGTGTTTCTTCATGAAATCCAGTTTTAGGAACTTCAAGAAAGTTTGCAGATTCCTTACAAAATCAGAGAACCGTCGGTCTTTTCCGAACATAAAATAATTTAGGAGTTTTTCAAAGAATTCAAAATATAAGGATTTCGGAAGAAACTTCAGGAAATCCAGAGGTTTTTCGGAAAGTAGAGAAGATTTTAGGTATTTCTCAAATATTTGTGAATTTTTGAAAAAAAAAAACAATGGGAGAACAATCTATAAAAAAACGCCGGAATTTTCCTAATAAAATTGATGAGAAGGAGGAACGTGACCCCGAACACTGCACTTTGATTGAAATGAAAAAGCAAGAAATTACTTGAGAAATAGCTTGGATTTTTTCAAAGATTTCAGCAAAAAATTCCAAGATTCTTTAAAAAAAATCACAAAATTTTTGAGATTTTCGGAAAAATTTTGAAAAAAAAAAACAGTGAAAAAGATCATGAAATGAGGCCAAGATAATCCAAATTAATGAATAATCATCAGACTTGGTCATATAATTTTTCAAAAAGAAAAATAATTGAATGCTTTCATAAAGTAGTAAAGGAGAACGAACGGGGAGACGAAGATTATAAAATTNATTGAAATATTGAAATCGAACAGGTGATGAACCGAAACGCATTCTTTCCATTGATTTCAATACTTAGTACAATAAAATCCTAACGAATCATTAATTTTGGGGAGAAATAAATGAAAGAAAACAGGAAAGGACATCAACGGCGGCGCTAGTACAATTTTATTTCATGAGACTTCGAAAAGATAACCAACTAAGAGAGCGCCACCTTCAACAAGTGGTATTCCGTTATTTCTCAATTTATTATTCCATTACTGAATACAATATTTTCTTGCTTTTCAACTTTATTAGCGAATAATTTATTTAGTCGTAATGTATATCGTATTATTATTTATTTGAATGTATCCACATTCGTTTCATTGGGTCCAGCGTTTAGTAAAACTCGAGAGAAGTTTCGGCGAGCCCAGAAGAAACCGTGGAAGAAACACATAAATACATAGTTCATGTCGGCATACTCACTCATATTCACCACTCTTTCGTTATGGAGTTTTTGCAAAACTGAAACAGATGGTAGCAGAGCGTTACCCACTCCATTTGTCAAACGCATTGACCAAAGATGTGCAAATGCATGCAATCCCTGTCTGATCCAATGAAAAGTGGGCAGCCATCCGGCGCCATGGGTTCGTCAATTGGTTAACAAAGTCGCTAATAAAAGGACATCTAAGAGAATTTTTTTTTGTTATAATAACATTGTTTTGCTCCTAGATATTCTCCTCCTAGATAATGCATCTGCCTTTGCAACAGTATTTTTGGCAACCAAAATAATGAAAAAACATGTTTGAATAACTTCACATTTAATTTTCAACCTGACTCGTCGTTGTCAGTCTTTTTTTCTAACGGTTTTATTATCATTCCAGAAATATCCAACGTTAATTATTTCCTTTAAAATTAGCACCGGACATACCATAGATAAAACGTTGAAAAAAAAATTAAAGAATCACGCGAAGATTTTTCGATGTGTAAAAAGTGATTTTTTTTTCAATTCAATGATTTATGCTCATGGTGGAGCTTGACAAAGTTATGCGATACTTCAGCGGATCTATTGTCTGGGGATGAGCGCAAAAAAAATGAAAAAATTTCCCGATGAAATTTTGCGAAGTTGAAAATGTGAGCGTTATTTTTTTTTTAGCTCGGATTACTCTAAAGAGAGATATCCGGTGTTACTGAGTTTTCAATGTGTTACCCTGTGAATAATGGCCCTTTAATTTGAAGAACGACATAACTGCATATCATCACGATTGAATTCATTCGCGACGGACATATTGCCTTTTCATTTTTTCAAATTCCGCCCTTTCTCCGCCAGATATCCGGTGTCAAAAATTTATTGTCTTGAAAGTGAGCAAACTTCAGGGTCATAATTTTTGTTACAATTCGTGAAAGTCGGGTGCCAACTTCACAGCTTTGGGCCGGTATTGTGACCCACCCAATACTTCTTTTTAATAGTTGAAAAAATTAATTAATGCATTATTTTTCCATGATTTAATTTACATTCTGCGGCTAATCCTTCCTAAAGAAACCAATGACCGCTGATAATGATGAATGAAAAATTGGACTCATCGGGATTCAATCCTGGAATCTTCGGGTTGCCAGTGCTTGACTTTAACTTCTCGGCCACCGTAGAATTATTAGTTCCGAAGAAGTTTATCGACTATATGAATAAAATCTGGTAGTCTTATGTGATTCGTCAATTTTCTTTAATTATATGAAACTCAATGTCGATATGGTAAATAGCCTATTTATTTATAATCAATAATAATAAGATTATTATGGTCATTATGGTCTCAAGTTTGAACCTTAGACACCTTATGATCGTTTCACCGTTAGCATCTGTTTACACGTTTTCCTATATGACCCATCCGACCTCTATGATCATTCGACCTTTTATAAAAGCCTCCAATCCTTACAAGTAGATTTGCTATTACCCCTATTTGCCCTTTATGTTTCGCTGCCAAATAGTGACCCTAATGAGAGTTTGACCCTTGGAATTGATTAACTTGTCTTTTTTGTTTGACCCTTATCAAGTCTCGGCGTCCGAAGTTTACCCAATTATTGGCCGAGACTTGGGATTCGACGAGTGGCCATTTGACGTTCAGTCGACACTTGGCCGTGAAGGAGTCGCCGAGACTTGGCATACCAGTCCAAAGCCGATGTTTAGTCGTGAGTGGGTCGTGAGCTCGGCATGCCAATTCCAGGCCGAGCTTTGGCCGATTCAACAGCACCGGCAAGTCGACCGCGGGTAATGGTCCAACGAATCGAAAAAGTTAGAATCGATGAAGAATCATTAAATTGTTTGATGTGAGAAGACAATTTATACACTAATGAACAAGGGATGTGTACTAATGCAGTGATGTTTCAGTTGAGACACAAACCCCGATGGGCTGCCTTATCAGTGGTTGCTTTCCTGTTAAAACCTCGACATGAAAGAGATCTTCAATAGTCGTTAGGGGTGGGGACTGATATCTATACTTTTTCCGCCCTCACATCCACACAAATCAGGAACGTACTGACACGAGAGGAGGGTAATAGTGGCGCGCGCAACTGCCTCGAGTACGTAATCGAACTGGGAGCGCCTTCACCCTCGGCTCCGTCCTCGCATAGCTCTCGGCTTGCGATTCCGCGCTTGAAAAAGAGAATAAAAACAGTTGGAAAAAATATGATAGAACGACAGTGCAATAGTGAATTCAGTGATGCAAGTCCAGCAATATTCTCATCTTGTGGATGAACGGATGTAGTGAATTCTTTTTTTTCTCTCTTTCAATCAGGATGTTTTGTTCTGCTTCACGTTCCATTCATTTTAACATACAATCCTCGTCGAAACACGACTGACGTCCTGTGTACTAGATTGAATTTTGATGACGGTCTGAGGGCCAGTGCGACGGTGGTACATTCTGTGATTTCAGTGAATCGAATATTGAACAGAGGCGAGAGGGTGGAGAACAATAACTAGCTGTCATTTGTTTTGGAGGTTTGTGAAATGGCGAGAGTTTCCAGGGCCACTAGGCCAACATTTAAAAATTTTTCATAACGGTGCGAAACCCGGAGTAATACCCCACTATGCTGATAATAAATGGCCCCGATCTCAGGGATTTTGCTGTATGAGTAGAACGATATTGATATATACTTTAAAATCTCAATTGTTTAAGTCAAGAACAGAATGAAACACCGGAAGAGACGAACCGAGAAGAGGCATCGGAATAGATCAAAACTGTGACACCACTTCACACATATATGAACTGAATAAATTCACCCACAAGTGACTTTATTTTTATTGAAAGTTATTTAATTTTGATATAATTTTCGTTCATTTTGATAATAACTAAAGAATATTTCCTCAGCAATATTTAAAGATGAAGAACACTAGAGCATGAAACGATGGACGGGGCCCCGGCCTCATTGGCCAAACCGGCGTCGTCCAGCTAGTAGTAATGAAAACGTGGATAACACGAGGACGATGGATGAAGGACGATGTTATGCATATTTGTACAATTATACAAGATTGAAGAAAAAATTTACATGGAAATTTGGAAATTTGCCCAAATAATTTCATAGTAGAAAATAAAATCGCGTACTGAGGAGGCAATCCTGGCAGATACGAAGGACTTGACAACGATGCAGGGCAAAGAAAGCCCCGTCGGGTCCAACACCCAGGAAACCCATCAGTATGTTGGACCCTACCGACTCGAGAAAACCCTGGGCAAGGGACAAACCGGTGCGTTTTCCCCTTTTCTATCTTTTGCTTCTTTGGAACGTGATGAATGCTTCATGGGTTTCTATTTTCATATTGGTTCTTCGTTCATCAAGGATCGAATACACGGAAAAAATATAAAATCATTTTTCACTAAGGTAATATAGTAATGGAGGACCATACCCGCTACACTCCAAATTTACTGTTGAACATGGTGAAAATTGCGAGTCGGTATAGTAGAAGGTATGAAAGAATGATAGTAAAATTTAATTTGGCACAAGTAAGAATTCGGCCAAGAAAAATCAAATTGTAAAATTGTTTCAGTATGATCCTCGAGTACAACATTCACATTGTAATTTTTTATTTACATTCTCTCCGTATAACGATTATCATGAATGCGTATTCATCTCCTAGACTTGATATGCGCTACTGTGGCTCTAAATTTCATTTTCTTTCGCCTTCACATACGTATTGGAATCAATATTATGGATTTTCATTTTTTCGTATGAACAAAGAGCCCTATGAGTATCCCCCTTATCCACGGCTACTCCACGGTCTCGTTCCATCACTTCTATGTTTTTTTATTCCAGTTTTATAATTTTTCCGTGGTGTGAATTGGTAGGAATGATTTATCCCATTCACTAGTATACGAGAGCACCTGGCACGAATTCCCCGCAGATCAGTATACCAACGGATCGATAATAAGTGGCATATCGCTCTCATTATTTTGAACGTGGATAGAGGCACAACTCACCAGTAGAGGTTGTTCGTGAATTATTGGGAAATGAATAAATTTCAACGTTTATTACTTAATCCTACGAAAATCGTTTCTCGGGGGGCGACGATATCTGTTTTTATTATATTTATTGAAATTTTTTATCTTTCCTTTTATGCATAATTTTCTATAGAAATATTTGAATAAAATTTTCTCCTGCATGTGGACTCGCTTTTGTATTCTATTCCATCATTGTTTAAGCACATGTCTTACTTGAGTCGCATGTTCCTAAATATTCATGTGTGAGATGCAGAAAAAAGAATTGGTGAGCTGTGCATAGTAGCGCATGCGTTACGAAAAGATGAAATTTACCAATCAGTGACAGCACATGTAAGAGACGCATGTGGTTTAATGACTCCCTTTCAACCGTGGCTGGTTAATTACTAGCGCCACCTGTCGATTTCGTTGATTTTCTAATACGTATTTTCAAATGCAACTGGAAGATGGTTCAACCAAGGTTAAAATACGACAGAAGAAACTCATTTCTTCCCGATGCATTCAGTAAAACCACACAGAAAAACAAATCGTGATGCACAATTTCAAGATCCTATACAGAAACTTTTGTTTTAAACATGCATTTTTCTAGAACCTGGAAAGGTATCTTTTAATTCTAGTAGGAATTCATCAAATTAATCATTAAAATCTGATTGATTCAAGGTGAAAATTCTTCCAGGCTTAACATTGAGATAAAAAAACACTCATTCGGTTATAATCTCCTATCTAAAAAAAGAGAGCACTCCCAAGTAGCAAACCTTGCGAAAGATATCTGAAAGTATACCAAAAAGGCTGACTAATGTCCGTCCAAAAGGTATCTTGCAGTCATACGATAACATTTAGTTAACTTCTAGGTAACTTCTAGACACAAGTTACCATTTTGGACAGACATTAGACAGCCTTTTTGGTATACTTGCAGATACCCTCCAGAACTGTGCTGCTTGGGCTGTCATGCCGGCCACCGCAAGTGTCATGGTGCACTGCTCATGGGCCTCATGGGAACATTGATGAGAATTTTTGGCGAGTTCTCATGTGAATTTTCATGAGGATGAGCAATGCGGCTGCGACAGCGCTATTCAAGAAAGTGCGCGAGAATTACAAATTTGATTTCTTACCTGGAAAAGAAGAAACAAGCATCGTATATATACATACATTGAATACATCAGTGTATATTTTCTACGCAAGAATTTGTTTACAATTACTGGAATGAAAAAATTTTTTTTGGTGATAAGTGTTAAGAGCTAATAAGATTGACTGATTGATAATTAGATAAACTTGAATGTCGATAATGGAATGAAAAGAATTGGAAATCTAAAAATATTCGATTTAAATTTTTTTATTCGATTTTTGTTTTTCGATGTTTTGTTCAATGAAGTCAATACTTTATACCACAAAATCAAAGAATATTGAATTTTCTCCATGAAAAAAAAGTCGGACTACTTTTTATGTGAAGATTTTCAATCATTATTGAATTGACTAGAAGATCGAAAAAAAGCATGGATTAGCAGCGGTTTCCGAAGGGAATGCCACAAACTTGCTTTTTTCAACATTCCCTTCTTAGGAATGAATAATGAAAATACTTCAATCTTCCAAAAATATAATTTTTTCCCATGAAATCGTTTTTTGAAGTTCTGAAATCGGAAAAATTCGTTACAATTCAGGAAAAATTATTCTTAGAATGAAAAATGGATTATTATAGAATTATTTATATGAAAAAACGTCGCAGTCGCTGAAAATAACGATTTTTCAATCATTTTATTAGTCTACTGGTGAAAAAAAAAAATTAAATTTCATGGACAGCTCAGTAGTAATTTTTAGGACAGAGACATTTAATTCAGTTTGAGAGGGAAAAATCATGAAAATTGAAATTCTACTGAAAATTAAACGGTATTCAATATTTCTTAATAGCGTGAAGATAGAAAATTACTTTTAAATTCTGATTCAAGACATGAATATTCTGTAACTAATTTCTCTGTATTTTCAATTGATAAACCAATTATAATTATCCAAATCATTTAGGTCAGAGGAAAATCGAATGATTCAATTTCCTTAATGTTGAGTTTACTAAAATTTTCTCCAAATAACGTTGATTAGAATCAATATCCAGAATTATTAGATTATCTGACATTTTGTACGTTAAGTATAGGAGAAACTGAATGCAACACAGTGAAAGTGATGATCTATTTTTTTACTTCGAACGAATAATAATAATATCTAAATTAAAAAATTCTATGATGAATAAAAAGCTATGACTCAATATTCCATAACAGCAGAGAACAAACTGATTATATTCACGCAATATTGTCGGAACCATTAACATGAATTTTAAATTCATGAGAAAGGATGGAGAAGTCAAACTGTCATTTTAAGTTTCAATTTTTTATTCGGTGCTAAAAACATGAGGTGACGATATTCTAAGCACGAAATTGTATTGATAATATAAACAGCAGATTAATTGAACTACCGAGTGAACTGAATTAAAAAAATCATAGCAGTGTTGGCTCACACCTTTACCAAAGTATCACCAAATATTGAATTCCAGCACTTTATTCTCTGAATTATGTTCAAAAAGAAATTTGATTGTAATTATGATCAAAATCTCATTCAATGAGCATAGGAATTACCACATGCGCAAATCATTCATTGCAATATGAAAATTTCACAGCTAATGAATAAATTTCACAGCTAACAATGAATCGAAATAAGAAATATTGAATCTGACTCGGAAAAAAAGGGTATAATGGAAGGGCCACCAATATCACGGCCGCAATTGCGTTAGAAATATGAAAAGTTTGCCGGAAATAATAATGCAAATCCGAAAATATTGACAGTAGGAATATGAAAATGTCAGGGTAGGTCCTATTCCCGATATGAGCACTCATTAAGAGAACATTTTCAGGAATTAATTAATTCATTAATGAATATATATTTCAGCTTCTCTATATATAACATTCATCTCTGAAAAGGTGGATAGAGAATGATTTATAGAAACTTCAAGGAAGTTTACAAGTTCCCTCAAAAATTAGAGAATCGTTAGCTTTTTTATCCAAATGTAGGATAATTTGGGAATTTTTTTCAAAGAATTCAAAACAATTATGAGGTTTTCTAAAAAAAATTTGATAAAGTTCTCAAATGTCCTAGAATTTTTGGGTAAACAATGGGAAAACAATTGAAAAGAAAAAGCCGAATTTCCTGAACAAAACTAATGTGAAGGAGTCACGTGACTGACTACTGCACTTTGATTGAAATGAGAAAGGAGAACCAATTTGAGAAATACCTCGGATTTTTACAACAATTACACAAAAATTCTCAAAAGAGAGTACTACTCAGGCAGACTTTTACAATAGAGGGTTAAACAATTGATTAATCGAGACGCATTGTTACCATTAATCTTCACATGTGAAAAAATTCAGTTAAAAATCCTAGCGAATTCGCTAGACAATTCTATTGGATTTCTATTGAACTTTCCATTAGCTTCTGGCCATTTCTATTGAAATGTTCAATAGAAAATATTCTGTAGAAAAACTCAATAGAAATATATTTTTCTATGCAACTTATTCTATTGAGATATTTTCTATGAAATTTCCTCGGCTGAAATTTTCCAAGTTTTTTTCACTCTATTTTTTCTTTTCATCAAGAAAATTAAACAAAAAAAACTTGGAGAATGTTAGCCAAGGAAATTTCACAGAAAATATCTCTATAGAATAAGTTGTATAGAAAAATAGAATTCTATTGATTTTTACTATAGAATATGTTCTATTGAACATTTCGATGGAAACAGCCAAAAACTAATAAAAAGTTCAGTAAAAATACAATAGAATTGTCTAGCGAATTCGCTAGGAATTTCGATGAATTTTTTTCGTGCGTGTTAACACTCAGCATAATGGAACGATGATGAATCATTAATTGTTAAAAGGAACAATAAAAAAAGGTATAACAAAAGAGCATCAACGTTGCGGCCGCTTGCTGCCGCGGCGGCGCTAGTTCATATTAAAACGAAAGGCTCACGATGGTCCAGTGCAATGCAAAAATGGAGCATGTGATATGAAAAAATTACATCGATTTTACTCTTGATTTTAACAATATTAGTCTAGATTCAATACAAGCTAAAAATTCATAAAGCGTTAGCATTTGATTAAGACAATTCTTCGGAAAATAATCCAATAATACAATTATTGAGTTTTATCACTCAACAATTAAACAATGCCTGTTAATATAATGCATTCCTAGAATCTTTATGCATTAATTTCCTTTCTTCAGAAGCTTCTTTTTCTCTGTATAGGAGAGACCGGAGTACTATGAGAAAACTAATGCACAGCGATTCCTATCTCACTTGATCTGCCAATCTACCCTAATTACTCTTGGAATAACCATTATCATCAAAAACTATATTCATCTCCTTCTTTTATAGGGTTGGTGAAACTTGGCGTACACTGTGTATTGGGTAAGAAAGTGGCCATAAAGATCATCAATCGTGAAAAACTATCGGAATCGGTATTAATGAAGGTCGAACGTGAGATTGCCATCATGAAGCTCATCGATCATCCCCATGTGCTTGGTCTTACAGATGTATACGAGAATAAAAAATATCTGTAAGTTATAATCCTCTTACTCATTGATACAGGAAGATAACTGAATTTTTTAATGTCATTGTCAATGTTCTATAACCGTAAAATAACAGTTGGTTACGAAATTTTCTGAACTTTCCGTTGAAAAAAAAACAAAAGCAGGGGTTCGAGCCTACCTGGCAGAAAACCTATGGCTGTTACTTTTTGCGTTATTATTCTTTTTTTTTCCTACCAATTCCATTGGTAGTAAGCTTCCAAATGAATCCGTGGCAATTTCTAGTCCCTGTGACAGGCATATAAATGAAATCAACATTTTGAAATCTTAGATACTAAGGAATATTGATATCCATTTTATAGGAATGCTTTTATTTTATAGATCGCTTCTCTGCCTTTATTCTCACTGCCTAATGGCCCATGGGCATCGTTGTATGGTGGTATATTAGCCACCCGTACTATTATTTTCGGAATCTATTGATAGATAATTCATTATTCGAAGTTCGTAAATCGTCTGAATGAAAATATTTCTTTTCCGGTCCACAATATCTCATCCGGGAGTTTCAGAATATTATGTCTGTCGTGAACATATTTTTTTTCCATCTCAAATTACCATAATGAAATTAAAAATCAAATCAAATCACAATTCAGGGGAATTTTTGATCCATCCATCCGTTTTGCTCGATGATCCGGTGTAATTATTCATTTAAAAATGATTCAGACATAATTTTCTTCATTATCAAAGTGATCTGAAGCACGTCGGAAATTTCCTAAGAATAAATAATTTTAATAAGTATTTTTAGAATTTTTTATTCTCCTCAGATTATTCTCAACTGGTTCAAAAAGAAACTTGTGGTGATGACGATTTTAATTGAGCAGAATTCATCAAGAAAAAAATTCCCCTGAATTTCAATGATTGTTTTTTTATCAAATGCAATTAGAAATTATCAAATTCTACTCTTAACTTATAAAATCATTTTATTAAGACTTTTTCTTATAAATATAAATTTTGTTCCACTCGGATTCAGTTATTTCCTTTAATTTCATTTTTATTTTTCCATAAGTAGTAATCTGTGTTGCAGATTACTACTCCACAAACGAAAACATTAATCCCGCTCAAATTAAATATCCACAATGCCACACAACAATACTGCCTAATGATTGAAAAACTATGCTTTTTCAGGGAAATTTCAAAGTGTTTTAACAAATATACTACACTCTATCCCAGTGATGAGCACCCCTATGCTGTAGAGTGTCTACAGGAAAATATTAAACTTTTTTATGGAATCGTTTACTACAAAAACGTGAATATCTCCGAAACCACTCAATGGATCGCGCCCATCCGAAAAACGAACCTTCAATATTATGAGAGCTATGATCGTACTAAATTTCAGCTTGCCATCTTCGTTTTTACTCACGGTATCGTGCGTAGAAGAATAAAAAAAAAAAAAAAAAAAAAAAAAAAAAAAAAAAAAAAAAAAAAAAAAAACAGAAAAACGGCGATGTCTCGGTAACTTTCTATGGACGGATATATATATTGTTATAATCTTGAAGTCTTTAAAATAAATTGGAAACGTAATCCAAAATGAATGGGGCGGTTTATTATGAATGACAGAAGTTAAACAGAAGAACAGTCCAAAAAGTCTGACATTTGTACAGTAGGGAAAACAAACTACAATCATACTAATGGGTATCCGGTGAATTTATCCCGGAATAATTCATCCCACAAACTCATCCCATGACATTTCATCCCAATACAATTTCATCCTAGAACAAATTCATACCAAAACAAATTCATCCCAAGATGACATACAACTTAGAATGTGAAATATTTGGATTCATCGGATTAGTGATTCATCGGATTACCTGGGTATTGAACTTCGGCCGGGGTATGGAAATTTTGTCGTTCTTGGTATTGGAATTAGTCACGCGTAGAGCGCCGGCTAGTTAACATGTTCTACTGTTCGCTGATAATTGTGAACGAGTTGTGGACAGATATGATGCTGGGCGTGTTGTGAAGTATTTGGAGAATGTGGCTCAAAATGTTGACTTTTAATTTGACCTTTGTTATGATTATAATGGATGATAGTTAAAATGAGTAATTTATTTTCAGTGGGTTATTTGAAATGTTTCGTATAGACCGTTCATTAATTTCGTCAATGACATGGTATGGTATTGTGACGCATTCGACGTGGGCTATTATTGTCGCGTATTTGACGAATATTTGTTGTGATGGATGAAGACTTATTCCATGGTGTCTCTTGGAATGTTTATCGTAGATCCGTTGATCGGTGTTGTGAAGGAGATTGTGTAGAAATTAGTCCAGTCAAATTAGATTTTTAACATCTAAATTAACCAAAGGGCACCAAATTACACCAATCGATAGCTAAAAGTGTAATTATTAATGTTTTAAAAAGTATATGCTCAAATTTGCCGGGGTGATTCACAATTTGTTATAAACAATTGGGAATTGCCGACAGGCCGTCTTCAATCCTAAATATCTTTAGTTAACCTCATCAGATGGGAAAAAAAAAATTTTTTTTGTAGCTGAGAAAATGTGCTATCGGGGGGAGTTAGGAACTTATAGCCCAAAATGTACCGTTAATTTATTATAAATTATAATAGCAATTTCGGAGCAGTCGGCGCAACGCGTCAGCTGTTACCCTCCCTGCGACAGTGCCATGAGTCACGTGATTGGCGCCATGCGCAACTTATTCAAACCTCCTGCTGCGCTCAACGCAATAGCCCTCAGCTGGATTTTTGATGAATATCTCTGAATCTGTGGCTAGTAGTCAAATTTTCATTATAAACTTTTTTGTAGATCTTTATTTGCTCTATAAAAATGGTTTTGACAAAAATTTTGCTGTTCTCCAAAGTTTCCGAGATATTCAATGAAAAATTAACAATATTCAAAATATTTTTCATTGAATATCTTGAAAACGTTGGAGAATAGCAAAATTTTTGTCAAAACCATTTTTATAGAGCAAATAAAGATCTACAAAAAAGTTTATAATGAAAATTTGACTACTAGCCACAGATTCAGAGATATTCATCAAAAATCCAGCTGAGGGCTATTGCGTTGAGCGCAGCGGGAGGTTTGAATAAGTTGCGCATGGCGCCAATCACGTGACTCACGGCACTGTCGCAGGGAGGGTAACAGCTGACGCGTTGCGCCGACTGCTTCGAAATTGCTATTATAATTTATAATCAATTAACGGTACATTTTGGGCTATAGGTTCCTAACTCCCCCCGATAGGACATTTTCTCAGCTACAAAGAAATATTTTTTTTTCCCCCATCTAATGAGGTTAACTAAAGATATCTAGGACGGCCTGTCGGCAATTCCCAATTGTTTATAACAAATTGTGAATCACCCCGGCAAATTTGAGCATATACTTTTTAAAACATTAATAATTACACTTTTAGCTATCGATTGGTGTAATTTGGTGCCCTTTGGTTAATTTCGATGTAAACGACATTTTCAGAGCTAGTTTGACTGGACTAAATGGTGATATATTTAATTGCTTTTCATGTTGTGTTTAGTGTTTGTTTTTTTGAGAATAAAGAATCCATTCACTTTCTCCTTATTTTCTCTTGTTGACGTTGAAAATTTCATTGAAATTGGAATTTTGAGATTAATTTTTCATGGGATGAATATGTTTTGGGATGAAATTGTTTGGGATGAGTTGTCCGGGATGAAATTGTTTGGGATGAGTTGTCTGGGATGAATTCACCTAGACCCATACTAATGCCTATACATTTAGTTCCATTCCATTCTCATTCACACGGGGGAAATGGTAATTTATTTCATTCTGTAACACGATTCCCCCTTTTTTTATTGTTGTCGCCCCAACGACACCTTACTAGAGCTACCGAGAATTCTTCAGACTTGGTTCCTCAAAATTCTCGGTTATCAGGGGCTTTAATTCCCTTCTTCCAACACAAAACCCTGACGGAAAATTACAATTGGAAGACGTTTAACTGCTTAAGAACCAAAACAACATTTTCAACAAGGTTCATCCCATTCGCAAACATTCATCTTCATTGTTGGGCACCACGTTTCATGGGAGTCCTTCGTTTGACAATTCAGGGGAAATTGTCCGAACATCTCCTTATCTGCCTTCAAATGAGACTTAGATCAGCGTAACCTAAATAGACAAGAAAGATCAAACGCAAAATTTTGTTCATTGTTAGATTAAGTCATGGCTACTCTCAGATACACCTCTGGAGTAGCTCCGTTTCTCGGCGTCCCGAGAAAATAATCGCTCCTCAGCGTCCTGAGGAAATAACTCGAGCCTTCTTTGACAATGTTAACAAAGAAGTTATCTTTTTCTGATCTCAGAGAAATAATCGTTCCTGGTAGCACAGGAAATAATAAATTAGCAACTCAGAAAGCAATCATGAAGCTTTTCATGACACATATTTTACAAATTCTCAGAGATTTCATTATTCATCGTAATGGGTAATTTGATCCACGTCGACAACTTTAAATTTACCACGGGGTAACTTTTGGATTCGATAGACATCGTCATTCATTTTTGTTCGAATTACATAAGGGCCATCCCAATCACGCTGCAGTTTAGGTAATTTTCCTTTGGTCTTTCGTGAATAAAAGAGCCAAACTTTCTCACCCGGTTTAAAGGAAAGTAACAAGGCTTTCTTATCATAATTTGCTTTCGTTTTGTCGCTCTTAATAACCAGAGTGTCTCTAACTAATTCATGGACGTCCATTAATTTTTCCCTAAGCTCGTGGACAAATTCTGGAATATTCGAGTTCTGAGAATTATCGCGTTTAGGAACATTCCCTCGAGTCAAATCCAAAAGTAACCTGAGCTCTTGACCTAACATCCAAAAGGCTGGAGAAAACTCAGTGGTCTGGTGTTTTGCGGACCGATACGCAAGGAGAAATAATGAAATCCACTTATCCCAGTCTTTTTGGTTATCGGCCACAAACTTGGCCAAATAATTGAGAATAGTACGATTTAGTCTCTCTACCATACCGTTCGATTGAGGGTGCAAAGGCGTAGTTCT